ACGGGGCTGAGGAAGCCTGGTCCGCCCCGGACCAGAAACTGGTCCGGCGGACCAGGCCTGTTTTTGCCCAAAAATGGTCCGATTGACCAACGAAGAGGGGACGGACCCGATCCGGTCCGACCGGACCGAATTTTGGTCCACCGGGCCGAATCTTGGTTCGGTTTGGACCAACTTGAGATAAAAGAGAAAATAAATCCGAATAAACTGAATGATTGCGCATGGTGAGACGTGAGGATAAACATCGCGAGTGAATCGTTGTGTGTTTATTTTTGGGTAGTTTGTATGGCGTTAAACGGTGTAACGGTCGGGGCCGAATACCGGGTTACGCATGATTGTACTGGGGTTAATATGCATGATCGATGTTTGCCACGGTTGTAGCTCGCTCGTGCGGTACGAGTAAGCGTGATTGTGATTGGGATATGGTCGCATGCGATGCGACGACCAACGTCATGGATTTGACGGGCGTGTGATGCGCCCCTAGTCATGCCGACTTGACTAGGGCTATGGTCGGGACCCTATGGTGGACTCAATACGGGTGGTGTGTTCTATTGTGTCATCATACGAGGCCTTGTATGGGCGACCGTGCAAGACACTGGTCGGAACCCTATGGTGGACTCCATACGGGTGTGTTATGATTTATTGTGTCATGCTGACTTGACACGGCCAACGTCATGGACTTGACGGGCGTGGACTCGCTCCTAGTCATGCTGACTTGACTAGGGTTTATGGCTGGGACCCCATGGGGGGCTCCATACGGGTGTGGTTACTTTCCCGTCTGTGTCATGCTGAGTTGACATCGGGTGGTCACGAGTGTGACCAGCGCGTGATACGCGTGTGTCGCAGGTGATGCGACGGCCAACGTCACGCGAGTGACGGGTGCGCGTGGTGCGCCCCTAGCCATGCTGACTTGGCTAGGATATGGGGCTGAAACCCTATGGAGGATTCCATACGGGTATGTTTGTGATTGATATGGTTGTGGTGAATGTTATGCATGTTATATATATATTGTTTTTTTTT